TGCTGCAAGCCTTGCTTCTGTTCACTGGGATAGTGATTCATTCACTTCAGCATATGTGTGGCGATATGCATGTTTTGCCATTTGTTTAACAAATTTAGAGTCACTATGAAATCAAAATTGGCTTATTTTTTTAAAGGAATATTGCAGAATTTATTCTAAATGATTTATCGGTGCACATCATCATTATTGTGTTAATAAAGTTGAATCAGAATCAGTTCCTCTTGCAGCATCTCTTCTCTTGTCTGAGGGCGGGGCTATAACCTGTCACTCACATGAGATCAGCCAATAGCAAACCACAACCATCCAATAGAGAGCCTAAGTCCCGCCCCTCCGCTTCCGGCTCATGGGACCTTGTTTCGGAAAAAATATGTATGGTAGTCAATGGCGAGAGACAACTTATCTTTTTATTCCGTCTGAACTGTGCCCTGAATTACACATATGATGTTTGTCAATTTAAAAGATAATTCTGAAAGTCAAGAAAGTCGCAGTTTGTCATAAAACAGAAGAGTAACATTTAGTTTTATGTGAAAATCACTCAATGAACTACATCTCCCGGGAAGCACTCTCGTGTGTGTGCAGTCTTGTACAAAACACTCAGGCATGACGGCGTAACGTTAAAATGACAGACGTTAGCTTCAGTAAAGTTAGCTTCATTCATTGAGAGAAAATGGGCGCCTTTTGGGTTTGTAGTCTTTGTAATCTCGTATTTTCACAGTCTTATACCTCAACAGTTTTACATCAAACTGCGACTTTCTTGACTTTAAAATGTATCTTTTAAATTGACAAACATCATATGTGTAATTCAGGGCACAATTCAAACGAGATCAAAATATTTGTTGTCTCTCGCCATTGACTACCATACAATATTTTTCCGAAATAAGGTCCCATGGCGGTCGACCGGAAGGGGAGGGACTTAGGCTCTCTATCAATTCCCCACAGACACAATCAAGCCCCGCCCACGTGTTCTAGTTCCAGAAGCGTTTCACTCGATATACGACACTATTGAGCTGGTAAGTCCCGCCCCTTCCGCTTACCCCGCTGGACCTCTAGGTTGAAAAATCGTCAATGCAAGTGAATGAGAGAAAATAATTATTTTCTAATCCCGTTTGAATTTTGAAATGAATGTGAACATATGTTGTCTGTGAATTTTTTATATACATTTTCGTGTAAAGAATGCTACAATTTAGCGGGTAGAATTTTCATACGGTTAGACTTCGTGTGAGAGCACTTTGTGGACTACAACTCTTCGCTGCTTTCGACGCGTTTGATATACGTCACCACCACTAGCACACGGATCCCGCTAAACATGCCTTTGTTTGAATGGTGACATTTGGGTACGAAACACACAGGCATCTCGATCTAATTCCTTAGATTATCGCACTGTGATTTGTGGAGGGAAAATGTGTTATGCGGTGACGTCACATATGCGACGTGTAGTCTTTCTCGTTATGTCTATTCCACAACTGCTAGCCAAAGAATCATACAATATACTGTCAAACTCGTTACATGAGAAATTATATATAAAATTCACAGACAACATATGTTCACATTCATGGCACAATTCAAACGGGATCAGAAAATAATTATTTTCTCTCATTCACTTGCATTGACGCTTTTTCAACCTAGAGGTCCACTTGGAGTTTTACGGATGGGCGGGACTTACCAGCTCTATAGAGGAGAAAAGACTAGTGCAAATTTACTTTCATGATGAGTTTAAAGATTACGATGGCATATGAATGATGTGCACATATAAATATTTTATAATAAATACAGCAATATTCCATAAAAAAATAAGAATGGCCTGTTTTGAGTTAAAATTGACTTAAAATAGTGTAGTTCTGTAGTGTAATAGTGAACGTGACGATCTTCTGATGATCAGCAGTGATTGTGTTTTCAGCAGCAGGAGGGGCGGGGCTCCGCATAGATTAGGCAAACAGCCCGCGCTCTCAGCCAATGGCGTGCCGCCGTGCGCGGAGCTGTTATTATGCAAATGCGCCCGTGGCTGCAGACTCTCGCTGATGTGAGTCTCTCATTCAGAGCCTTTGTGTGGAAAACACCGGCGCCTCACCGAATAAACCACGAGAATGTGACATTTCGCGTGTTTCTCGGCTCTATTCGACGCGTTCATGGCGGAATAGCATGAGTTCTCCGTGTTACACGGTGGCGATGGATGTCGGTGTTTGTCAGCTCAGGAGTTTTTCCATCTCGTTTCTGTCGTCGGTTCTGAGCTCGTCATCCGTCAGTCTCGAGAACAGGTGAATATGGAGATATTAATCATCATCATCATAAGCTGAGCAGCGGATGTAAATATGATGTAATGTAATAAGCGGAAAACCCCTCATCTGATGCTCGAGCCTTTCAGTTTCGATTGCCTGCAATCTTCTTCTTTATTGAGGACTAGATGTTACGCAACAGCATCAGAACCGCGAATGAATAAACGTGTTTCTTCCTCTTCTCTCCCGCAGTTCTTCAGGAGCCAGTGTAGTGGCCATAGACAACAAGATCGAGCAAGCCATGGTGAGTCTACACTCATATTCCTCTGATGAAGATCATTATTCGGCTTCACTGCGCGTGAACATCATCTTTACATAAGCTGGATGACACAAAGACTTATGACAGCTTTAATAATGGAGTCATGCTGCATTTAACACGCCTTTATAGATGCTTGCTATGCACAATTATTGGGTTATTGTTTATGATCATGTCAAATATGGATGTGGATTGTAATGACATGCATCTGTAGTTTGCTCTGATGGCAAGTTGGGAGCAGTTTTTGGAAACTCCTCGTTTTCGTCGTGATGTTTCCCAGTGTTTATATTGTGTGTGTGTGTGTGTGTGTGTGTGTGTGTGTGTGGCCTGTGGCTGTTGCTAGGCAAACACTGACACTGATGCCCTTAATAACTGAGCAGCTCCTCCCTCTGGATGAAGAACATTCTGTTCCTCTTCTGACTGGATGTAAAGATTATATACCGGCAGAATCCCTGATCGAGGGAATAAAGAGAAATGAAATGAATGAAAGGGACTTTATTCTCACGGAAATATTAAACTGTGATTGGGAATGTCTATAAGGATTATAGATGTTTCTGCTCGTAATTGTTTAGGGTTGGAAAATCCTCCTCATCCAAACTACTGAAAACAGAAGACAGGGTTATTATCATTAACCAAAACATTAAAACATTTTAGTTACCAAAATAAACAGGCGACATTTCTAAAAAAATAAAATAAAATAAAAATGTTTAACTTGATGTACAAAAATAAAAATAATGAATAAAAAACAAAACTAATACAAATTTAAAAAATGCACAAGAAAATTACTAAAATTACATATATATACAATGTTTACTTTTGATACAACTTTGTTTACACTGACATTGATTTTGCATCCATAATGTCAGGTTTCTATTTCTGCAACTTCGATTATCATGATCATCTCAGGCACTGATTTTAATTTGACAGAAATGACAGAATTTAATGCGAGTGAATATGAATATCATTTATAGCCGTACTGAAAGCGACATAATTCACCTCAAATCTTGAAAATACATGAACGTAAACAAGGTTCAAACTGTAAACAAACAAGTGTGTTGTATATGACTAGAGATTGTTTCAGTCACTCAGTATGTATTTTTAATAATGTTAAAATGGTGTAATATTTATGACTTTTTATCGTGTACTTATCCATTTGGTTTCGAGGGCAGCGTTCTTGAGAGAGACTCCGCCCACACACTCTTCTGATTGGCTGTGATTTTTGATTGATTTGATTACAAGTGCAATGCGTTTGCAGAGAGACTCCGCCCACACACTCTTCTGATTGGCTGTGATTTTTTTTTATTGCGAGTGCAGTGTTTCCAGAGACTCCGCCCACACACTCTTCTGATTGGCTGTGATTTTTTTTTTATTGCGAGTGCAGTGTTTCCAGAGACTCCGCCCACACACTCTTCTGATTGGCTGTGATTTTTTTTTATTGCGAGTGCAGTGTTTCCAGAGACTCCGCCCACACACTCTTCTGATTGGCTGTGATTTTTTTTTTATTGTGAGTGCAGTGTTTCCAGAGACTCCGCCCACACACTCTTCTGATTGGCTGTGATTTTTTTTTTTATTGCGAGTGCAGTGTTTCCAGAGACTCCGCCCACACACTCTTCTGATTGGCTGTGATTTTTTTTTTATTGCGAGTGCAGTGTTTCCAGAGACTCCGCCCACACACTCTTCTGATTGGTTGTGATATTTGATTGCTAGTGAAGTGCTTGCTGAGAGACTCCGCCCAGGGCTCGACATAAGCAATGGCCCGATGGCCCGGGGCCAGTAAAAGAGTATGTCGGGCAAGTTGATTGGCCAGTCACTGGCCATCAGCAAAACAAACAGCAAACGTCATACACACTACACAGTGGCGCGAAGAGTGTAATGGTGTGTGTTCACACCGAACGCGAATAGAGTGTAAAATACGCGTCTATCGTGTCTAGTTAGACGCTTGAACATTCAAAAAAAAAAAAAAAATAGACGCTTGAACATTCGCTTGAGTTCAAATTTTCAACTTGCGCGGAAGACATTCGTGGCAAACACGTCGCCCAATTTGCGTCATTCGCAACGCCCGGCGCAAATGATGCGTCTATTCGCGTCTTTGCATTGACTTTGTATGTAATCTACTCGCGCAAATAATTAAATTCGCGTTCGGTGTGAACACACCATTAGTGTTACTTCAGGTTATTTTAACGTGTTAAAATGTCAAAGAACTACGAGGCTGATACGAGAAAGAGGACATTCCCAGTGTCATGGAAAACACAGTAGGGCCTACACTGGTAGGGATGGGTACCGAAACCCGGTATTAAACGAGCCCGGGGCTGAATTTTGAAAGACCGCTGTATCGATAAGCTCGGACGTTATTGGCTCTGCTGTCGGTACTGGAGAAATACACGTAGGCGGGGTGATCATCAGACGTTATTTATTTATTTATTTTTTTCATCTTGCTGAGTCACCAGCCATTTCTGGATATATTAATATTAAACCATTAGTCTGTGATGCGTTTTTGCTATTCGCAGTCCAGATAGAGAGAGATCTCTCACGCGGTGCCACAGTGCGCACAGCACGACAGCCCCGCTTAATGAGTGACCACAGAGCGGAGGACAGAACTAAACATTCAAACGTAGCACACTTTAGATCTGTGATATTACTCTGATTTTATTTTAGATTTCGGCTTCTAAAGATTATAGAATAGGCTATTTGAGGTAAAACCCTTAAAAACTATAGCCGCATTCTGTCTAGCGCAACTTCCGTCCCATCGCAGCAGTACGCTGCCATTTCACCTTAAAACTAAAACTTTACGACAGAATCAGCACGATCGGTGATTGTTGTAAAATGCAGTCTCTACTGTTGCTAAATTGCGGGACGCGTTTAATAATAAAAAGAGCTATTAAAAGCACAAAAATCTGCGCAAGAGATGCTGTTCCAAATGCGGCGCGCTCCGAAACACACCGTAACGAGACAAGCAAATTACACATTGGGCTTCATGTGCGCGTCTAAACGATCAAATATACACAAAAATATGTCAAAATGACCGCCTTGGAGATTCACTTAAACAGTTTATGTCTAAAATGGACGTAGTTATGGAAATATTTGGGAGAAAATATGGTGCATCAGTAGACTATTAGATCTGCACTCGTTCTTAAAGGGAACCAGTCTAATAAACGCTGAGGATTGCGCCATTACTGAGAATTAAACAACAAAAGGCAAAAAGAAAATCAGCTCTTGAATGAATAACTTAAGCTTTAATAAGCATAAGTAAGATGAGGAGACTGAGGAAAAAAAAGAAAGAGTGATGGAGATGAGGAGAGAGCAGGTATTGACAAATAATCTACTGCAGGCTGACATCTGGTTATTTTTGCATACAGGGGCTCTCTCTTAATTCCTGTACTCCCTTTGCTGTATTGATTAACCCTAATGTATACAATAAATAGGCCTACAGTTTACTGGAAAAGTGCTTTTCCTTATATTTCTTTCAGGGCCAGTAAAAATATAGAAGGGGCCACCAAAACTCTGATCTACTGGCCAGTGGGGATTTTTTTTTATGTTGAGCCCTCCTCCGCCCACACACTCTTCTAATTGGCTGTGATTTTATTTTGTCACTGGAATCTTGTGGCATCTCTTCGGGTTGTAATATGATTACATTTTGAGACTCTAAAGTGCATGTTTGAGGGTAGAAGTTGATCCTCTGGTGTACAGGAATGAGACTGTAATATTTGAATATTGTGATTTGTCCCTGCAGGACCTGGTGAAGAGTCACCTGATGTACGCGGTGCGCGAGGAGGTGGAGGTGCTGAAGGAGCAGATCAAGGAGCTGGTGGAGAAGAACTCTCAGCTGGAGCAGGAGAACACGCTGCTGAAGAACCTGGCCAGTCCCGAGCAGCTGGCCCAGTTCCAGGCGCAGGTCCAGTCCGGTTCTCCCACCTCAGGGGCCCCGCCGGCCCTCACGCCCAACCCGGGCCCCGGGGCCACCGCGTGACGGCCCCCGACCACACTGTGAACGGACTCGCGCATGAACATTCGCCACGCTCTGACTTCATCGCACACCTTGCTGTCAAACGCCACGCGTCAAGAGCTTCACCCGCCTCAGACAATCAGCGCTAACCGAACCGGACCGAGCCGGAGCCACATTCTCCTCCTGTTTTTATGATGATTTCGTTACTGGTTTTATTTTGTTTGCCTTTTATTTTTGTTTTAGCTGTATTGAATAAATGAGCACTTTGTAGTCGACACATAAGACCAAACAGGCCGAATGTGAACTTTGACCTCAGTGTTGTGGGAATCTGGGACTGTTTAGAGGCTCAAGTGTTTGTGTGTAAAAATAAAACGTGGGGCCGTGAATCAAGTTTCACGATGAGAACAAAAACACACACACACACACACACACAGACAGACTTCCTCACGGACGATTAAGTTATTTGCCTTACAGTCCATCGCTCCGGTCAGTGATCGTGACCCTTGACCTCACAGTACATGCATGTTTCCTTCAGACGATGTGACGTCATGCAGTTGCACATTGACTTTAATAAATGACCATGAAATGAAAGCTGGTGTCGTGCTGCGCTCCTTCACCGCTGTTCATGTTACTTCTGTGACCCCAAACACCTTTACATGACCTCAAGGCAAAGCAAAACCAGTGTGTTTTAATGCACTGGTCAGTTTTGAGGTCTATTTTGCTTTCATGACGTGACTAGCGGAAAGAAAACACCCATAATACACATTTAAAGTGTTCCTATTGTGCTCGAATGAGAAGCGATTCTGAACTGAAACGAGTCGTCAGTATTTCAGTCTCTGCTGATCCTGCGTAGGTTTGTAACTCATTAGCATAATGCCAGCCTGTGGTCCTGATTGGCTGAGCAGCGTCTCTTAGCTCCGCCCTCTAACACTAGTGTATCTGAGACTGGGAGAGTTCGGCTCGTGTTGTTCGTGTCGAGGAGACGCTGTTTTCTGAGATTGAGACGGTGAAACCCACGCCATCGCCAC